TAAAGATAATAATTAAGTATTCTGTTAGAACTCAATGATTATCCTAATTATATTTTAGATTTTTTATATTTAAAATAAGATGTTTATCTTGTATTTGATCGGGTTTAAGAGTTTTAAGAGTTTAAGAGTTTTTAAGAGTTTTAGCCAAATGTTTTATAATATAGTATAGATTAGTATATTATATGCAACATACATATTGTTGGATTTGGGTAAGAATAAGAGTTATGATAAGAAGGTGATAATAAACCTGCACATATAATCATCTACGTTTAACTACTATGATTTACTTATTTTTATCACTATGACTAAAACTTTGACAAAGAATTTATGATGGATCAAGGTTTGTTCTCTTTATCTATGCACACATGTGTGTGTATATATATATATATATATATTATTTAATTTTAAATTGAAATAAGAGAAATAACTAAAAAGGCCAAAATGTCTCCCAAGTAAACGGACTTAACTTACCTAAACTAACAACAATAACCCAAAGAGAAATAAAGTGGTAACTAGAGAGGCCAAACCTGTAATTAATTTATAAAAAGAGGAGTGGATGGTAACCACAAGGACCAATTTTCGTGAGAAATGTCTTTTTTTCTTGAAAAATGATGGAATCCACATAATTTCCACATTTAGGTCCCATCATCTTCACATATATAACGTAATATTCACGATATAACAATATTTTTATCACTTCTCATATTTTTCACCAAAAATATTTTTTCTTTCGTCATCCCATTCCCAAGTATATATGCTTTTGTATTTTTAAGAAAATGAGATGAAATGGAACTCAATTACTTCTCTATATATTGTGATAAAATGACCAAATCCATAAATTGTAGAATGTCTGGAATTCAATTACATCTCACGTAAACCAAATGATGGAATAAAATTTGTTCAACGGACTTAATCATTATAATTGATTCAGATTCCATCAAAATCCTACAAATGCACTGCCTTGTAATGATCACATAACAATTAGGGCTGTTCGTGAACCGTTCGGTTGGAAGTTCGTTTATTTAATAAATGAACGAACATGAACAAATTTTTTTAAGAGTCTCGCTCGTTCGTTTATGTTCGTGAACGTTCGTTTGTTTACCGTTCGTTTACGTTCGTTCGATTATGTTCGTTTATATACTAAATTTAATATATAATCTTTTGTTTATTTACTTTGAATTCAAATAATATTTATTTATGTTCGTTTAGTCCGTTTGTTTATGTTCGTTTAGCCCATTCATTTATGTTCATTCATTTACGTTCGTTTAGCCCATTCATTTATGTTCGTTCATGTACGTTCGTTTAGTATGTTAACAAACGAATATAAACGAACACGAATACACCTGATTTCTAAACGAATGAACACGAACACAAATATTTTCGTTCGTTTATCGTTCGCGTTTGTTCGTTTGTTCGGTTAAGTTAAACGAACGAACACGAACAAGCCTCCGTTCGTGTTCGTTCGGATCGTTTACAGCCCTCATAACAATTACTGTAAGGACTAAAAATAGAAATTTTCATTATCGAAGGGACTAGTTCTGCAATTGATCCATTAATCATATCACCTCCTTGTTCCACCGCCTGATTCGAACGTCATATACCCGCGAAACGTTGTCAGATGACCAGCATCAGCATTCGGCATCCCTCCCTCTCTCTCTCTCTCCGTGTGTGTGTATATATCGAACGTATATATGTATCTGTGTGTCTCTATACAAACATACGACAATTTTCTGACAAGTATCCGCTTCTACCGCTCCTTGGTGACGATCGCAAGGTCCGCAATCGCAGCAGAACTGTAAGCCCTTTCCCCGTTTCTCTCTCTCTCTCTCTCTCTCTCTCTCTCTCTTGTTTATGTGATTATGTTCAATCGATTCACGGAGCTAATGCTCTTTCTGAATTAACTCGAGTTCTGATAACATCATATTCAACCCTTTGTTTGCTTCCTTGTCTGTTTGTATGCTTTGATATCTCTCAAGTTCGTGCTGTACGTCGATTTTTAAGATCAGGGTTTCTGTAAATTTCTAGGTCATCAATCGGGTCATAATTTTCTTGAATGAATCGCGATATTGGCTGGCGCCCGTCATTACCTTGATAATTATTGAAGATCATAGCTTTTTAGGTATTCTACGCTATCCGATCATCATAAGTTTGTGATTTTTTTTTGGGGGGGGGGGGGGGGTTAAGGTTAAACCTAAAAGATTCTGACAATATCACGCCATATAAAATGTTTTTAGGTTTAATTGTGTTATCTTTTGATTGCAGTATGGGGAGGGTGAAGCTGAAAATTAAGAGATTAGAGAACATCAGCAATCGACAAGTGACGTTTTCTAAAAGAAGGAATGGAATATTAAAGAAAGCCAAGGAATTATCGGTGTTATGTGATATTGATATCATCCTTCTTATGTTCTCTCCAACTGGAAAGCCTACATTATTCACTGGACAACGCAGGTTATTTCCTAAATCCTAACCATATTATGCTCTTTTACACATTAATGCTGATTGTTGAAAACTATTACCATATTGGGCTATCATCTTGCGTCTTGGTATATGGGGAGTTATCTTATGTGGTCATACAAACTGTGTACAAACCACAATCCCTAGTCTAAATAAGTCCCCAAAAGCAAAACTTCCAATGGTTGCTTACAAATTGGTTTTATTGCCTATCTGTAGTAACCAAGAGTTGTAATTATCTGGATCCAAGAGTACGTAATAGGGAATTAAAAGTTGTTCATACGTCTTCTCTTTGCAGCAACATTGATGAGGTTATTGCGAAGTTTGCTCGACTAACGCCTCAAGAAAGAGCGAAAAGGTACTCGAGGCGTTTCTTGCTTGTGATCTTTGTGATTCTTTTAAATTTCAAACAACATTATAACCAACTCTTCCTCCTTCTACTTGAACAGGAAATTGGAGAGCCTTGAAGTAAGACTGCTTTACAGAGCAAACTACATATTTCCCTTTATTTTCCTGCATTCATGCTTGACCAAGAACAAGTTAAGGAAAGCATGGATCAATCAAAGAATATGTTGTGACTGTTCATTTCACTCTGCAACTATCTTGAAATAGAATTTGAATAACACACACAAACAGTTGGAAACTTCAACATTTTCACTTGAGTAAATTTTATCCAAGCAATGTGAAATGTTCCGTGTGTTTTATATTTGTTTATTTTTTATGTGTCAACTTCTGTGCGTAGCTATTTCTTGAGGTGCTGGAAGTAATCGACCTGATGGTGGGACAAACATAGCTTAATATATGATTAAATTGTTAAGTGTGAAAGTAGATGTTGCAACAAAGCATTTATGTATGTGAACATGTAAAGAGTAAGCGAGATTATTACTTCATGGCAAAGGGATTATTTCCTGTTACATTTTAACTTGATGGTTGTGAAATCAAAATATCATCTTTCTAAAGATTAATTGTTGATCGTTTGAGCACATAGGCTTTGAAGAAAACGTTCAAGAAGCTGGACCATGATGTAAATATACAAGACTTTGCGGGTGCAAGGTTGTTGATTATTCTTGTCAGTTTTCTACGTATTCTCTCCCTGTTTCCATTGAATGCCACATCTGATCTTAGTTTCTTCTGGTTTGCTTCTGTTTGCAGCAGTCAATCAGCTGAGGTCACAAGATACCCACCCCCAATCATTTAAATTTCGAAAATATCAGTACTTCTGTCTACAATATTATTTAATGATTGATTTTATTTTCAGGATTTAAGCAACCATGCAATGATGTTGCGATCTCAACTTGCTGACATACATAAGCGACTAAGGTACGTCTGAAGCCTTCAGTTATTCAATTGATGTGTAATCATTTCCAGTTTCCTGTATGCTCTCCTGGTCATGTTTTGTTATTTGGTTCAAAACGCAAGTCACATGCAATCTATTTTATTTTTCTATCATTGGCTAATATAGCGGACTTTTCTGTATAAAGATCCCGTACACCTTCAATTCAGCTGTAGCCATGATTAAGTTATGACCTTATGATAAGAATCCTCAAGTGGTCTTAGAAGTCATTTATGAACCCCATAACTTGTGATCATTTTCATAACTTTGAAGTGTACGGGTTTGTCACTTAATTAAGAATATACCCGAGACAACTTATGCTTGTTTGTCCAACTTATTTTGCACATGGCAATGAAGTGGCTTCCACCCGTACACCATCTAGACTGATCTTGCCTAACTTTTTGCATTATCTTTTGTGCTCATTATCATAAGTTATTATGATAAGATTGCTTGCAATTAGCTTTTCAGATAATTAGCTTAATAGTTTTCTTTCTTATGAGTAATGTATTAGCTTATGTCTATCAGTGGCCTGTTATGCCGTCTCTTTATTTCATCTCTTTGGTCTTTTGAACTTGTATGGCTTATGATCTTTTGTTGTGGATTCTAACTTAAGGCCATTGTTTCATGAGTATGGGTACATATACGTATGATTCTTAATATGGTTCTTAACATCCTAGAATGCTTTCTGCATCCTCTTAATTAGTTATTGGAGTAATCCAGACAAGATCGACAACATTGAACATCTTAAGCAGATGGAAGATTCCTTAAGGGAGTCACTTGACCGCATTCGTATACACAAGGTATTGTACTCTGAATTCATGCCAAGGAATAAATTCCACATCATTTGGAAAGAACGTTCTCAATTTATTTCCATTCACCATCCGTGGACCTCTTATGCATATGAAGTGCCAACTATTGGTTGTCTATCCAATATTTTGTACTTTGCCATTAATCAGTGGAAAATGGCTTATTGGTGCAGGAAAATTTTGGACAGCAAAAGCTTATTCCGCTAGATTGCATGAGCCAGGTACTATAATTTTCTGAAAATTTTATTTTGACTATCTGTCATACAGTGGGAAGATTCTAACTGACAGAGACATTGCATTGCAGTTCCAGAACGGGTTGCATTTGCCTCTGATGATGGCCAACACCCAAGAGGATCAGAATTTACCATGGCATCCAAACAACGAAAATCAGAATTTGATCTTACCAGAGAAACAAAATTACATGCCTCACAGGTCAGTGGGCTCCTAAACTGAAGTCTCTTGTTAGTTTTATTGTGTAAAGTGAAGTTCTTTAATCAAATGAACTTCCGTAGCTTAACTCCTCCTGTAAAGAAAGAAAGAAAATGAAGCACCACTCGGCTTTCGCCCAACTTCCAACTTCTAACTTCCAAAACAAATGAATTCTAAAATTTCAAGAAAAAAGACTGATGATTAACTCACAATGAACTCCAATTATTAATGTTCATTTTGTAATTCAGTAAAACCAAATAAACCCAGTATATGTATGTAGACCTGTCTTCCACCCCAAATGGGTAGATGCCCATTCCTTAATCCTTTTTTTTTTAGGGAGGTTTACTTTGGAGCTCGAATAAGTTATGAGAAAATATATTTCTTTTGTTTTACTTGCAGAGATGGTGAGTGTTCTGGGATGTCAATTACAAACTATTCTGGTTTGTTTGGTGCTGGCAAACAGCTAGAGATGGATGGTGCAGGAAAAGTCGACTGCACCAGGCAGGATGGTGGTTTGGCTGAACTGTGTAGTACATCAAACTTAAGACCACAATTAAGTGAGCAATTTCCATTTCATCCATATGGTAATCTTAATTTTCAACAATCAAAAGAAGTGAAGCCTGAGACAGCAACTAGCTTGCACGGATTTTTAGATTATTCAATGAATTGCAATTTCGAAATGCCTAGACCTGTCTACAATGACAATGTGTGTCATGCTTGGAACCCTGATCCCGGGCCTTGTCCTCTTCCCATGATTGATGGGAACTCTTATTCTCAGTCCCCGGTAAGGCTTCTTTCCATATTAGATTCACTATAACAAAATCGGCTTTGTAAGACACCAAAGATGTTTACATGTCTTAATAGATTACTTTATAGGACTTCAGTTTATAAGGCCAAACAATTGTGCATCCTGTATAAAGGTGTTACAATAAGATGGTAGAACATATTTGGACATTCTAACAAGTTTTTAGGACACTTTTGAAAGAAAGTGTTCTATTAGTTTTGTTTATATGAGACTTCTGAACACATAGAGCTTTTTGTAGGACGCTTGTTTTTATAAGGCATCTTTTTTCCAAATAATATCATATAAAAAGACTAATAAGACCATTTAATTCAAAATTGGTCTAAAAAACTTGTTAGGATGCACAAAAGTCTCTTGTCAAATTATTGCAACACCTATACATAGGACACACATTTTTTCAAACGTATATAACAGTCTATTAGGATATTTAGCCATATTTGTCGTTCTACATAACTGATTTTGTTGTAGGGTTTGTTCATAATATTCATTAGTTTGTTCTTTATTATGAGCTTATGGTTTCTTGCAGCAACCAGATCATCTAATGACGAACAACCAAAACTGAAGGATCACGCTCATCTCAAACGTATGTACAACTTCTACTTGGACTCGAGTGGTGTTGACTGCAAAATTCACATGGTTTCCTCGAGTTTTTTTCAAGATATAGGCATAGAATACTTTAGTTGTATAGTATGAATCATAAAGTATTAATGCATCTTATAACATCTTTGATCTCTTTCTTCGAAATCAAGAAGTTTACTTTCTGCTGATGCGACGGGGAGAATAAGTTCAAATAAATCATAAATTTTCATCTCATATGATATCCCCCTGTACATTAGAAACAAAGCTTAGATCTAGGGTCACAACCCAGGTTTACAAACAGAGCAAAACAAGATGTTTTCTTTCCTTTAGCTATAAGATCTTTAGTTTCCCGAGGATAGTGTTTGCACGATGGTGTTATGCCATGGGTCTGACAGGTGCTGCACTAGGTTGTCAAATGGGCCTTTTCCAGTCACGTTGTGCTGAACAATGAATCCCAAGAATGCCAACATTGCCAACCTCCCTGAGATTAGTAAAAGAGAGTATTACTTATTGATGTTTGTTCAGTAAACCAAACCAAAACGACCCGGTAAATCTCACTAGAAAGTAGGTTCTGGGGGGGTGAGATGTACGCTAATCTGACTTCTATCCCTAAAGCGTGACTTCTACCTTATAGCATAGACTCTCCTCTTTGGGGGTAGAAGTCATGTCTGCATGAAACTAAACCAAACGAACCCGGTATATCCCACTCATAAGTAGAGTCTGGTAGGGGTAGGACGTATGCAGACCTTACCTTAACTGCTAGGATTGAGAGGTTGTTTCCGTGAAGAACCCCAGCTTGTGCACGAAACAAGGGTGTGTGCAAGCAGACAGTAAGATAGGTAATATAACAGGCAATAAGAAGTCAGGTCTGCATATATATATATATATATATATGTATGTATGTATGTATATGTATAGGGTTGGTTCCGGTAAGAATGGAAGTCATAGTGAGAAAGGTAAGAATGGATCTCCACCCTTGGATCAATTTTAATTGAAGATCAACCCTAATGAGATGCACTGGATCATTGGGTGGGGATGGGATTAAAAGTGATCAAGGATTCAGATCCCTTCGTATGCTTCTCACTTTACCTCCTATTCTCAGTCACATGATTCTTCGTCTATATATATATATATGTATGTATGTATATGTATCAGCAAAGAATAGAGCCGACTTCTAGCCCAAAGAGTAGAGTGGTTGTTTTTGTGTGGTTAAATTATCAATGGTTGGTTGTAATATGGGTAGGATGGGTGTTTTCTCTTTACCATTAGCGAGCTCTTTTTCCTTGGCCTCAGCAGTTGGTGCAAAGTTGAGGGGATTGAATATCCCACCGGGGTACCCGCATTCATTAGGTGGCAAGCTGTAGTTTTTAAAGATAGGATCTTGGTTAACACTTCCTGGGTTCTTGATGTCTTGCCACCTTCTAATCTCGACATAGTGGAACAAAATGAACTCGATCACAAACAGGGTCGATGATGAGGCAAAATATTCCGACTTTCCGGCATCATACCACTTAGGAACATTAAGTATGCCTATGCTCGTGAAAACCTCCGGTAGTAGCATTCCAGCGACACCCAACATGGCCCACCGCCCATTTACGAGCTCTGCTTGGACGAACCACCTTAAGTTCTCCGGGTCCTCTGCTAGTCCCAATGGGTCAAAGCCATTGTCACCTGGAAGACTGAAAACACATACAAGTGGTTCACAGTTAGTTTGTGCATTAGGGTGTTTGTACAATACAACTGTTAATGCGTTTTGAAGTTGGGTTTGAGTTACCTTCCGTCAAGATAACCGGGTGAGGCTAACCCGGGTAGCCATTCGCCCTTTTTGGCTTCGATCTTGAAAGAGGCGGATGGATAAGTGTCGGAAGGTCTGGTGGCGAGTTCTCGGTTTAACTTCCCTTGTGATCCAGTTAGGAATCTGGTATATGGCCGGAAAACGGCAACGGGAGCTTGTGTGATGGCGGCCATAGTTTTGGTTGGGGTGAGTTGAAGATCCAAAATGTGTGTAGAGCAGGCTTTTGTAATATTGATTCAAGTGGTAATGTTGTGGTTGTGGTTTAAGGTTTGATGGTTCATTAGATTTTGGGGGTTATTGATTGGAAACTGACCAATGAGAAGCAATAGATTCTTATCCTTATCTGACGTGTCATATCCACAAAATCTATTAGTGTGCCTGACGTATTTTGCCACTTGGAATCTTTAATAGCCAATCATTGGATGACATTTGTTTGGAATTTTCGTATATGTTATAAAAATGTCAACAATACTTTTATTGAATTTAAATTACCTTGCCTTATGATGGGATGGGATGGGATGGAGAAAAGCAGAACAAATCGTTCGTTAATCTAATATATATAATTTAATGAAATGATCCGTGGCATTAATTAATATCATGGGTTATTTTTATGTGGTGTTTTTAATTTAATTATTAGACACTCACTCACAATTTCACTACTTCGTTATAAAACAATAATTTAATTATTAGACACTCACTCACTACTTTGTTGCAAAACAATAATTTAATTATTAGACACTCACTCACTACTTTGTTACAAAACAATAAGAATTGAACGAACGTTTGTGAGGAAAAAGACACCTTTGGGCTTCTACTTGTCAAGCCCCAAAGCAACTTATTTACCAAAACAATCACTGTTTTTTTGTGATAGAAAACAAGTTTGTATATGTTTCATTTATAAAATAAAAAATATATATCGAATATTAAGTCAATTTGATTTTGCTAAAAAAAAAAAAAAAGACTTACTTAACTTCCCTCTGTATAAGTAAAGATCTAACTACCAAAATCCTTGATCAATAACCACAAATCACAAGATTCAATCTTCAACCACAAATCAAACAAGTTTTCTTGGGTATAAAAACATTATGTACAACTTCAATGACCGAAAACGGATGCACCAAGATTTCTTGGGTTCACAATGGTTCGCAATGATAGTGTTTCCATGACTTGAACCCTTGTTAAAACTAGCTATGCAACAAGTAAGTTGTTGATTGGTGGATTAGTCTCTTCATGAACAAAATCATCCCCCTCACTTGATTTTAATGGCAAATCCTCTAATGGCAAATTATATGAGATTTGACAATTGAAGCTAAAGTCAACAACTCAGATTCCTCTAATCCTTTGGCTGCACCAACATCACCCCCATCTGTTCCATGCTTTGATAATGCATCTTTAAATTTCTTTATCTGTAGGCATAAAATCAAGATCCACACTCAATTAACCAATTGTTCTTATAAAGTCCATGTATATAAAAGATTGAATTAAAATGAATCAAGATTCACCCCCATCAACATCAACATCAACATCAACCAATTGTTCTTATCAACTCAACATTTTCTTATAACATAAGAATGGATCAACTTACAGTTGCAATGGTGCAGCTAAAGCTACAAAGTTTGCCCTCTGACCCTTTATAGAATCTGAAGAAGGGAAGAACATGAATACGGAGAGAATGACACATGGGTTTGAGTGCTTCATAATTCACTTGGAGGAAAATTGCATTAGGGTTTGACTCAGCCAGTTGACAGATCTGATTATAAACCAAAATTAAACAAAAGTTTCATGTTTAAAAAAATGGGTTTTGGGAAAAGTAATTACTAATTACCTTGGGGTGTAAAGCTTTACAACCACCACAACCAGGTGAATAGAAGTCCAGAATGACCAATCTATCCCCTGAATTTGATAGTTTATCCACCAATTCTTGGGCTGATTTGATCTCCATCATGTTGGGTGGAAGTGTCTTCTCCCACCATCTCATGGGTTTGCTCAGAGACTTTGATGCATGTGTCTGTAATAGAAGGGATTAAAGATTAGTTTTGATTCAAACCCATCACCAAAAACTTGAAATGTTGGTATAAATTTCAACATACAAGAACAGGGGTTTTAGCATTCCAACAACTTGAAGTTAAGCCCTTGTGATCTGAGGGAATTTGGGATCCTTTCTTCAAGAAATCTGTGGAAACAATCGAAGGAGAAAGAAACCCATTTGAATTCGTTAGGGCTTCTTCAAAAGAAGCAGGGAAACTAATAGGGTTGAATGAAGAAGAAGAAGCCGCCATTGAGAGATGTTGTTGAACATATAAAGAAGTCAACCAAGATTCCACACCCCAAAAAAACCAGAGAAATGACCAAATGAGATGGTATAAAATCCAGATAACAAAGAAACACCGACTTGATGTTATGAAATGCAAAATTCTTGAAAACCCAGAAAAAATGTGAATCTTTTTTGAATGATGAGAGAGAAATATGGATGTCGTGATTTGGAAGGGGAAGGAGTGGGAAAGAAATGGGTTGGTGGGAGTTTTTAGGGTTTCTTTTTCTTTTGAAAGAAGCTTTATCCATTTCACTAAATTACTGTGAACCCATAAATAAAAGATACCAGTCCATGTCATGTGAAGTTGTAAGACCAAACTGCATTTTGTGCCTTTGTTAAAAACTGCTATTTTAGTCCATGTGATTTCGAAACTACGGTATTTGTCTTTATAGTTTAATTCATTGCTTTCATTCATATAAAACCAAAATGAAGCCTTGACCAGTTGATTCTTATAAGCACCATCTGCCAACTAATTATGTACAAACTTGGATTGGGTTTCTTTAAGGGATTGATAACTCTAGAAATCATCCAACCATATTTTTGAGCTTCAACAAAAACACACACTTAAAGCACACAGGAAGATGGAGAATGGTGGTGATAAGAAGAAATGGTGGGTCCCAGGTGGTACTTTGGAAATAGAGTTGGATATGGTCCAAGTCAAACAAACACCATATTTTGAAAAGATTTTGAATTTGGATAAGCTTTTCTATTTTACCATAACATGATTGATGCCCATATGTTCATTAGGGGAGTGTTAATGACACCTCTTGGCAGGGGTGTTGATTGCTTGGAATTTGTGCCAAATCACCTTTTATCATAAATATCAAATCAATTAATTATATATTTATATTTTATTAATTTTATTTTATTTTATATATTTATATTAAAAATATATATATTATTTTATTATTTTTATGTTACTTTATTATTTTATAATTTT